AGAGGGCCCGGGGAAGTGGGGTGGTCTGGGGAGGTGAGACAGGGCCCTCTCTCACCTCCCCAGACCACCCCACTTCCCCGGGCCCTGTCTCACCTCCCCAGACCCCCCCACTTCCCCGGGCCCTCTCTCACCTCCCCAGACCACCCCACTTCCCCGGGCCCTGTCTCACCTCCCCAGACCACCCCACTTCCCCGGGCCCTGTCTCACCTCCCCAGACCACCCCACTTCCCCGGGCCCTCTCTCACCTCCCCAGACCACCCCACTTCCCTGGGTCCTCTCTCACCTCCCCAGACCACCCCACTTCCCCGGGCCCTGTCTCACCTCCCCAGACCACCCCACTTCCCTGGGCCCTCTCTCACCTTCCTGGCTCCCCGTCACATCCCCAGCCCCCTCTCTCGCCTCCCCAAGCCTTGCCCCTTCAGGACTCTGTCTTGCCTCCACTGTTCATTGTGGTCCCTGCCCTCCAGGTGCCCCCAGGACCCCTGGGGTTAGAGCAGGAGGAGGTTTGGGGCCTGGAATCAGAAAAACGCAGGGGACGGCGGTGTTAGAGAGTGGCAGAGCAAGCCCACGTGATGCTACCAGGGGCTTTGCTGAGGCCCCCTAACCCCACTTTCTTGCCAGAAGCTCAGGATCTGGGCCCTCCCACCTGCTTCCACGCAGCGTGCCAAGAATCGCTTATGCATATTATCACCTCAGCGTGAGTGTGCCTTGCTCTTGATTTTGTCTGGTTAAGCCGCCCTCGTGTAGAAAACATAAAGGGTTTTGAGTGAGAAAACCTACTTCCGCCACTCAGTCATCAGCGGGTGTTGCTGGACCTCAGTCTCATCTGTAAAACGAACAGTAATGCTCCGCCCCACAGTGTTGGCCCAAAGCAAAAAGAGATGGCGCGAGTGAAAATATCTGCTCTTCCGAAAACTGCAGGGGCTGTGAGTCAGGGAGGAAGCTTGCTGGGTGATCAGCCGCTGAGCCTCCCAGCGCCGAGGGCAGGAAGCGCCTTCCCAGGCCTGAGCTTCCCAAAGCCTGCCCTGCAAAGTCCCAGCCCTGTCACAGGTGATCAGTGCCCGGCCCTCAGGCCACTCACCACCGCTCAGCACCTACTGCGGTCACCTACTGAGGACACTGTCTTTTTTTTTTAATTAATTTATTTATTTATTAGAGAGAGAAAGAGAGTGTCAGGTGGGGGGAAGGAGCAGAGGGAGAGAATCTCAAGCAGACTGCCCTGAGCGCAGAGCCCTATGCGGGGCTCGATCCCATGGCCCTGAGGTCATGATCTGAGCAGCTGAAACCAAGAGTCAGAGGCTCAACCAACCGAGCCACCCAGGTGCCCTGACACTTTCTTTTAAATAGAGGGAACATTGCATTCCTGAGTTTAACATACACATTTATATAATTCAGAGCAAAAAAAAAAATGGTGCTGTAAGATTAAAACTGCCTTTATTTCGTGCAGTTTAAATCTTATATACCCACAGTCTGTTCGTCTAACGTCAGTGACCAGTGCTGCCTCCTGTGCACACCCAGGGCAGCCGAGTGAGGGAACTGGCACAGAACAGGATGGAATGGGAGAGCAGGCTCTGGAATGGTTGGGATTTGGCGATGACTCTCTCTCTCTCTCTCTCGAAAGAACAGGAGTCTGCTAATTTTCACTGTGCTCCTTGATAATAACATCACCAGCCATTATAACCGTTACCATTGCACCCGTGCCTGATGACACAGAAGCCCTCCCTCGAGCCACCCAGGCCCGCAGAACCCAGCTTCCAGGGGATGAACGCACACACCGTGAGGTGGCTGAACGGGTTGTGACTCCGCTCCTTGGTGACCAGAGAGAGGAGCATCCAGGGCTGTGCGCCTGTGAGCCTGCTCGCCAGTACCGGGCCGGCTGCTGTGGACCCGCCGGCCTGACACCTACGTTTTATCTTCCAGGAAACCTAAGCAAAAACTGTACAAGTGATGGGTGGTCAGAGATGTTTCCAGATTTCATAGACGCCTGCGGCTACAGTGATGCCGAGGACGAGAGCAAGGTAAGAGCCCCTGCGCGACCCCCGCACTTTCCAGTCCCTTTTCTGGAAGTGCCCACGAAACGGCATCTGTGTGCTGCCCGACAAGAATTATGTACATTTCCTCTCCTGCGAAGAGCAGTGCTGCTTCTTGATGGCCAAATTGGGCAAAGTCCCTATTGCAGTTCTGTGCCCGGCATTTGGTTCATTTCGTGGTTCTGTCATTTTGGAGGCGGGAAAGCCTGATTCTCTTTGCCTGCTTTCAGTTTGCCTGAACGGCCCTGCCTGCCTGAAATGAACTGTAACGAGCATCCACTCTGCCGACAGGTTTCTTTGGCCTATCTAGGACTTTGCTGCAAAGCGGGCTGTCCAGAAGCCATGCGGCCGTGTTTTTAGCCGTGGGCCAGCAGCAGGAGACAGGACGAACAATGGAGCGTGTTTGCAAACTGAGAGACTGAGCGTGTCCCTGGCCAACAGTGCCCAGGGCGTGTTGGGGGCTCCGCCTATGGCAAGGGCTGCACTGTTGGTCCGCGTGCTGTAAGGAGGCCAGGAGGTGTGCTCAAGATGAGCCCTTCTCTGGGAACGTGATTGTTTAAATGATGTGTCAAATCAAGTCCGCTCAGCTCTGCTCAGCCCCAGGGCTGGGGTGGCTGTTCTTTCCTGCATGTTCACCCTGCAACATTGTATGACTCTGGTTTTACTTTGTTTACCACCAGGAAACCAGGTCACCGTCCCCCCTTGGGCTGCGTTCCTTCACCCCCAATGCCATATTTTTTAAAAAGATTTTATTTATTTATTTATTTGAGAGAGAGACAGAGAGAGAGCACAAGAGGGGGTAGGATCAGAGGGAGAAGCAGACTTCCCGCTGAGCAGGAAGCCCGATGCAGGACTCGATCCCGAGACTCCAGGATCGTGACCTGAGCCGAAGGCAGTCGCTTAACGACTGAGCCACGCAGGCGCCCCTGCTAATGCCATATTAATGACAGGTGAATACCATGCATTTCATGCCCCCGTCCCCTGCAAACACCCGCTGTGTGGGAACATACTTGAGGCCCTTTTAAAGAGCCTTAGGGAATACCTAGCTACTCATGCACGTTGGTCTCACTACCCTCCAACCCTGGGCCCTGCCACCCCACCATCAGTGAGACTGGTATGAATGTCACTGTCAGATCCATTTTCCTGGGGGATTAACACATCTTTTGTGTTCCTTTTTTATAAAGGGACTGTCTTTGCTCTCCTCACTAAGATTTATGGTATAAAGCCAATTCTTTTGCCACCAAATTATTAAACCCTAGAAAAGAAAGTACCTTACATTTTAGCGAGTTTCTCACTAATTGAAGGGTGTCTGGCCAACTGTCAGTGAGGATGATGGTGGTGCGTGGTGGGATCACTGGCATTGTCCAGTGCACACTATGAACCACATCAATTACCAATATCACCTCATGCGGACTTTTTCTGTTGAGGTGTGACTGACATACAAACACTGTTTATATTTAAGGTACGGGCGTACCTCACAGGATCACACCTGGCAGATACTGTGCTTTACAAACTGAAGGTTAGGGCAATGCTGCACTGTGTGGGGGGGACATATTTCCAACGATATTTGCTTACTTCATCTCTCTGTGTCATGTTTTGCTAATTCTGACAATATTTCTAACATTTTGATGATTATTATATTTGTTAGGGTGACCTGTGATCAGTGATAGGACTCACTGAAAGCTCAGATAATGATTAACATTATTTAACAACAAAGTATTTTTTAACTAAGGTATGTACGTCATTTTCTTAGATGTAATGCTACTGTACATTCAGAAACTACGGGATGGTGTATACATAACTCTTAGAAGCATTAGGAAACCAAACAATTCGCTTGACTCCCTTCATGGCCATATTTGTTTTTCTGCGGTGGTCCGGAACAGCCCGCATTATCTCCACAGCATATGCCTGTATGCGGCGTGACGTTCTGATGTGTGTATATACATATATTGTAAAATGATCCCCTCAGTCAAGCTAATTATCTATCACCTCACATATTTACCTTTTATTTATTTATTTATTTATTTATTTATTTATTTATGTATTTATTTTTATTTTGGTGAGACACAGACTTTATTCCTCTTATAACTGAAAGTTTGTACACTTTGACTAACATCCCCCATGTCCCCGACCCCTTGTCTGCTTTAGTCTTGGTGACAGCCCACCTTACAGAGGGAAACACTGAGGCTCGGGTGTGACATGACGTGGTCGGGGCCCCAGCTCTGTTTCTGTTGTGCAGTCACTGAGATTCAGCTTCTCTTGTCAGAAGTAGTCACCTTCCCCCTCGGTGTGCAGTCACCTGAGCTGCAAGTGAAGCCTGGGATGGTGCCTGCGCTCTCTCCGGCTGGCCGGGAACCACTCGGGGACCTGTGCGCACCTGGTGTCCCTCAGGGAGCCTGTGCTGCTGCGCTCCATCCTGCAGGCCCCACAGGACACCAGGGGGTCATTTGCCCCCTCAGCCAGGCTTGTGACCCGGGAAGCACGGGTGCAGAGCTGCGCCCAGGGTGTCAGGAAAAGGACACACATCCAGGATCTGATGCCACAGAAGGTCCTCTTGGTTCCTCTGCCTTCTCTCCTACCCTGGTCTTCCCTCCGCTCCAGATCAGCCTGCTGGTTTTGGAGTCTCACCACATCAGGCTTTGCACACTGGTCGGGGGCTGTCCTACACGGCAGAGCGAGACATCATGTCATTCTTCTTGTACTCACTGGATTCTGCGAGAAGGCCCCGTGAGATGTCAGCCTCTCGTGAGTCGCCTGTTGGGCAGGAAACACGAGGTGGTAGAGAGCCCCGAACACCGGGACTGATGGCTCTGGCAGCCACTGAGCTGCTCCAGCTGGAAGACAGAGGGTTGGTGCCATGATTGTGTCTGCTGAGCCTCCAGGGTGTAGCCCAAAGTTGGTGACCTGTTCGGGTCGAATCTGAATTCAGAACACATCTTCATAAGAAGATAACGTGTGGATTTCAGGTTCTAGACTAGTCCCAAACTGCTGTTTAGTTATTTAATAGGGCCAAACCAGGACACCATCCTATTGGCTTGCTAAGAATAAGCCTTGAACTGATACAGAATTCACCCGAAGCCTCAGGACTGTCCTGGAGCAGGAAGCGTTCACAGGCCCTGTTCTGCTGACCCGGCATGCTGACCAGGAGTGGGGACTGCCCTTCTTCACGATGACCAGGGCTCCAGGAGTGGCTTCAGGGCACCCTGCCACATGACACCTCCCTCCCAGGTGACCCTAATAGATGCCATCAGGCCGTTTCAGGGGCAAGAAGACAGGCCCCGGCAACCAGAACAGTCTTGGACCTCTGGTTCCACCGTCTGCAGGTATCCCAGATGCCTGCGTGGGGTGGAAGCAGAGTGTCCCCAGGCCTCCCAGTAGCATTTCTTCAGAGCCAGTTGTGGGTCCCTATTCGAGGGTGGGCCCGTCCCTATTCATTCATATTCCACAGTCGCTTCTTGGGAATCCCGGTGTTGTGAGTCTGTCCTATTATCACGAACCCAGTGTGGCCGTGGGTCGGTGCTGAGAGCTGACATTCGAGGCGATGTTGGCTCCCTTGACAAGTCAAAGCCGGCAGCTCCTCTTCCTTACGTTTCCCCTGGGCCACACTGTAGGTGGCCTTCCCAGGAAAACGGATGGAAAACTCTTCCAGGCCCTCGGAAACGTGTGTGCCTGAGCCCTGCCTTCGTGAAGCACAGTGTCCCTGCTTTTCTGACACTTTTCCATCCAGTTTCAAGAGTTATTTGTCTTCTTAATTAAACATTTCAGAGATTCTACAAATATCATGAATGCATATTCCCTACTAATGGATTAGAAAGTCAAAATATTTTAACGTGTAGACGCGAAAAGAATGAAGGCACAAAACCAAAGTAGTGACTTTTCTTCCTGATTGCAGTTCCTGCCGTTCACATACTTTGAATACTTGGTGGTTTAAGGGTTCCTGCAGAAGACAAGAACCACGCAGTGTGGCGGACGTGCAGAGGGCCCGGAGGGTCCGCGACCCCAGCTGGGTCTCCTCAGGCGGCAGAGGGGAGGCACAACCCCGGCCATGAGCCCAGTGAACTCTGCTTCCGATGTCACGCCTCGTCTTATCAGCAGCTCACTCTCCTCCCGGTTTTATGATTTTAATTGGATTTCCTGCTCTCACACAGCCAGACTCTGCCCTGGGTGTTGTGTGTGCAAACTTTGTTGGTTTCAGAATTAATTAAATTCAAGAAAAAAATTAGCCTCCACAAAAGCCACAGGCTTGGCTACATGTGGCAAGGGAATCGAAAGATAAAGTCAGGAATGGGGAGTCCCACGAAGGAAAACAGTGTCCGAAGACCCCAAGGGCCTCTCAGATAATGGCGGGAACCACTATGGTGAAGCTGCTTCACACTCTGGACCAAGGCAGCCCACAAGTCGCAGGGGGGCTTGGCGGTGGTCTGGGCCTTTATGTTCTGGGTCTCACAAGCCACAGTGGGATCATGAAGCTGGCCAGGCTTGGCTCAGACTCTGTCACCAGGTCCTGGTTTCTGTGTCCAGTCTTCCTTGTCTATGACCCTTTCCCACCAAAACCACCCTCGGGCATCTGCCTTGCCATAGGAGTATTTTCCCCTCCGGACTTTGATCTCTGAACCATTGCATGAAGTGCTTCATCCCATTAAGGATTTAAGAAGCACTCCCAGGGCCCACAAGGGTCACACCAGGAGCTGCCCTCTGTCCTTTCCCATGCCCCCACCCTTCCAGGGACATGTGGGTGTCCCCACCCATGGGGCTGAAGAAGCTGTCCTAGGGTCACGTTCTCAGCCTCAGGCGGGACTGCCAGTAGGGGTCATTCTACCTGGAGTTATCTGCCTGGTGGTCCATCCCTCCAGGCCTGGCCCCCTACCCCGGGGCTCCCCTGACCACAGCAGTCTCTTGGCGTTTTTCCTGCAGCAAAGGCTGTTTTGAGGCTCCAGTTCAGGGCACTCCCTCAGGTCAGGCCCCCAACCCATCTCCCAGGGATGCTG